TATCATTCATCTCCTCTCTGAGGCTCTCCAACGAAATTCTGAAGGGTTTTTTTGGGGATATCCTCTCCCATCTTTCCTCCACATTGGCTCATTTGTCATCTGGGGCTCTGGCTTTACATACGTAATTTCTCTGTTTTTGGGACCTTCTGGATCGTGATGCAACATTAACTCGCGTCCATTTACCATCATCTTATCTTTGGGATTTACATATGGCCCTATTTTTTCAGTGATACGTTTTTGACACAATCCCTGAATCTTTGAAATCATGAGTTGCATCTGTACAACAACAGTCTACCCTTTCCAAACTTGTTGCTCGTTTATCTCAGTCAGAGCCTAATATGGCATTTGTTACCATTTTCCTCCCAACCCTTACCTGTCCTTCTTCTCAGGGTGCCTCATTTCATTGTTTTCTTTGGTGATGCTTGTCATGTTGCCAACAGTATTGGTGGCTACCTGGTGTGTTCTGGTTTAGTGGAAGCTTGGCCTGCCAATTTTCTTCATCACTGGTGTCCTTTCTTGAAGGATCATTGGGTTCTTCAAGTTTTATTGGAAGGATTTGTGATCCCATTTTTTCCCCCACCTCCTGTATTTCCTATACCCGCTTCCTTCCCTCTGCCATGGCCAGCCAGCATCTGTCAGAGGCAGTTCAGAAACTACTATCTCAGCAGGCCATCGAACTTATTCTACATCCTTCACAGTTTTTATTCCAACTCTTTGTTGTACCCAAGAAAACTGAGGACTGGCAGTCTGTCATCGATTCGTTCAAATGCCCCATTTTACCATGGAGTCATTTCTCACCATACAGAGGGCATTTTCTCCAGGTTTATGGATGACCAAGATGGATGTTGCCAATGCTTATCTCCACATCCCTATATCACCATGGTCTCTTTGGTTCATCCATCATAGGGTGGTTTATCAATTTTAGGCCTGCTTCTGCCCTTTATGTTTTCTGTCAGGTGGTCAGAGCTTTTACTTGCCATCTTCATGCTCTGGGGTTGCAATTCCACCATTATATGGATGACTGGCTTTTTCTGGCTCATTCCAAACTGGAGTTGACCAGCCATACTTGCCAGCTTCATCTAATGGCTGCTCAGATGGGCTGGTTAATCAAATTGAAGAAGTCCTTCCTCTGTCCTACCCAATATCTAATCCATTTGGGTGTATTTTTCTACACTCATCTCAGTTAGGCCAAACCTTCTCCTCTAAGACTTCATTCCATGGAACTGTTAGTTCACCATGCCACTTTCTGCTCGTGAGAGTCTATCACTTTTGTGGATGTGGTCTTCAATGATGTCACTGGTCCTCCTCAGTCATGCACATATCTTTTCACAGACACATCTCTTCAGGGCTGGGGTGCATGGGTCAACCACCAGGAGGCTTTGTGTCTTAGGTTTGATGATGAAAGATCTTTCCATGGAATGTCCTCGAGCTTCTTACAATCCATTTGGCTTTGAATCACTTCCTTTCTTTCACCAGGCATTGTCTGGTGATAATTCATTCTGACAATTCTCTGGTGGTAGTAAATATCAATCACCAAGGGGGCATCCAGTCGAGATCTCTCTGTTTTCAAATGTTGGATCTACTATATTGGGCCCACACACACCACATTCATCTCATTGCGTGTCACTTTCTGGGTGCTTTCAATCTAGTAGCAGATTATCTTTCCTGCCCTGACCAAATATATCCGATGGACTGGTCTTTAGATCCCCTCATTTTCCAGTGGCTTTGAAATCGGTGGGGTTATTCCCATATAGATGTATTTGTCACATACCTTAATCACAAGTTACCCCTCTTTTGGCCCCTGGTACCTTATCCTCGGGCTCTGGCTGTTGATGCCTTTAGCCAGGATTGGTCTCACAAATTCCTTTATATTTATTCTCGTATCTGAATACTTCATCGGATGATCTCTCTCATCCATACCACTCTGTGTTGAGTCCTTTTCATTCCATACCTCCTTCTTCAATGGAGGTGTATCGGCGCAAATGGAAAGTGTTCCTCTGTTGTTCTGTGACTCGGAGGTTCCTACTTGCCATTGATGTTTCACATACACTTTATCACCCTACCTAGTTTCTCCTTTGTCTGGATCACTCCTTCCTCCCAAAGACGTTGGTGGCTAGGGAGGGTAACTCCTCCTTTTTCACCTATTTATCTTCCTTCTATATCTCATTTTAACCCTCTCCCAATCCAAATAGACTTCTATGTTCGGTCCATACTCTTAGTTGTTACATTGCCTGCACTGCTTCCTTTTGTGGTACCCATTTCCAACTCTATCGTTTGGCAGTCTTCCTCCATTTGGGATCTTTCACCTTCTTCCCTCACCAGTTTGGTTCAACTTTTGATTTGATTGGCTTATTCCTCCTTCTGTAATTTGTTCCAGGTGTTTTCTCATCAGAATCGACACCTCACCTTTTACCTTGCATCTCATCTTCTTTGGCCATTGGAGGAAATCTTTTGGTCAGGAATATACCTAATATGTTTGTCTCCCATTTTTTACACCATATTGCAGTTCCTTCTTCATTGGGCTTTCGTCTTCCACCTGTGGCCATTCTTCAGGCTTCAGTGCGACTCTGACTGGGTAAGTTTGTATTCATACTTTTCTTTTCCTTTCAGGGGCCCTTGCTTCATTTACTCATTATATATATCACACTCTGTGGTGAGTGGTGCCTGACTAGGTATTCTTCAATTTGAAATCTTTACAGCCATGCTGGCTTGTGCTTTTTCTTCCATGACTTCGCAATGCTCACTGTTGAGATGTAGTGTTCCATAGGATTGCTTATAGGTAAATAACCTCGTGTTGTAATTGCTTCATAAACTTGCCCATTCCAGACCGTACCACCCATGGACTGCATGAGTAAAGCAGAAGGGTATAGCTGTCCATCCCTGTTATGCCATATATTGAATAAATCAGTATGGTCTTGCTTTTCAAAATAAAGGTGATGACATTCCTCTGGAATCTCCACTGCATTCTCACTCCCATTTCTTCTAGTGGAGACACCCTCCTGAATGGGTTTCACACAAAGATGACTATAACCATTCAATGCAGAGTAGGTTAGTGGTGTTAGAGTAGGTTAAATAATATGCTATCCTCCAATATGCAATACACGTTGATGACGGTACCCTGTGACTGGATTTTGGATTTAGAGTAGACTCAATTAACATAAGTCCTCACATATTTATGGTTGTCTATATTCCTCCCTTGACCATACACCTTCTGTGTTTTGGGTCACAGTGGAGGTAAGGGGGATTGTTCCAGTTCTGTCCTTTTTGCTATCCCTCCTTGTATCTTATTCCATGAATTTTATAGCTTTTTGGATGGTTGTGGTCAATTTTGCTGTTGATTTATTTTATATAGACATCCTTTTGATACCGGATATTGGGTCCCCGAATCAATAGATCAAAGCTAACGCATGTCATGCTCAGGAGTTGGAGTGGTTCTAGATTCCCCCTGGTCTCTTGAACTTGAGGTGAAGATGGTATGATCCTCATCCTAACCCCACGTGTCATGTCAGTTTCCAGCGGCATGGGTTTTGGATGTTGTTGACTTACCTCGGAGGTCTGTCGTGCCCTAGCCACTCTACACCTAGGGGCGCATCCATTGTTTTACACACTTTTATACTTTTTTGGGATTGAGTAACATATATTTACATGTTTAGGATCACTATCCTGCCACAGTTCTCTCCCACTTGGATGTGCTTCTCTTTTTTTCCACCCTTATCTACTATATATTTCATGGATGGCTGAAGAGTATACCTGGTTCAGAAGTGGTGCAGTTCCCCTCATCAGATCTTTGGATCTGACTCTCACATTTCCAGGTATATCGTGGGACACTTTCAGGGGGTACTTCTGTCATTTTCTCACACCGGTCCCGCCACCTTATCAATGTGTGATTCTAACTAATCTTGTGAGAGGAGGGAAGTACGTATCAGAAGTTATAATTTTCCTATACTGAAAATGTATTTCCGATAGGTACTTCCCTCCTCTCACACTTCCCATCCTACCTCCCCACTTTCCTCTGGTGCTTATGTCTTCTATCAAACCTTGAAGTGATAGTTCGGTAGAGGCATAAAGAGGGAGTCACATGCATCTTTTATGTCATGCTCCTATTAGTGGTGAAGTGATGCATGATGATTTACATGAGAGTCAAGTTGGAATATTTTGATTCCAATGGAGGGGAGCAGAAGACTTGTGGAATGCATAAAGACTTTCTTCTAGGGTGGTTCTTTTACTTCAGACTTAAGCCCCCTAGTTACTTATACGTCTTTGTTTCTGAGTGTTTATAAGCTTGTTTTAATAAACAAAACTTTTCAAAGTTTACATTATATTAAATTCTCTTACATAATGAACTGTTTGGTAACTTTGAAACTTCTCCCACTATCATTGGGATCAACATAAATCTTTCTCTTTACAAATGGTGAGCATTAATCAAATATGTTATGTTTTCAAATATTATTTGAAGGTAAGAAAGTCATGCATAACGTAATAACACCAAGTCATTCAAATCATTGCTCATTTTAAGTTAGTAAATATGTAATGGAAGAGCACAATGAAAATTTAAATATTTTTTTCCAATTTCTTTGATCTATATGTTTCCATTAACAGATTCTGCTGGTAATGTAATAGATTAGTGTCTAAGATATATAATATATATTAATAAATATTTAGCAGAAATTGGGTGTTTCCATTTTATTATTATTATTCAAGTGTTATTAAAAGCATGAGTGCTGGAAGTATTTCTTGAGTGCTGGATGTAATTGTCAATCTGAGATCCCTACACTAAGAGAAAGCATTTTAACTTATTCGGCTTACAACAGACAACGTGTAGTTGAAACTCTACTACACATTAAAAATGTTTATGGGCCTGTGATGTTTTATAATACTTGATGTTGTAAAAATGAATAAAAAAGAAATAATTTAATAAGAATTCAATTATATATGTTAATTATATTACTTTCTTTTTATTAGGGTTCTGTATGAATTTATATATATTTTCCAACTTCCAGGTTTTGTCAGTCAGCCAGATAAGTGACAAGCATCCTTTTCTAAAAACCAGTAATTTCATTGATGCTCAGGCATTGCAAACTGTGGACACAAAAGCTTCCATGTTAAAAGGTAAAATATACTCTGTTATTTTTATTTACTTGTATTCACTTCTTTTAGCCAGTAAGCTGAGAACAACTATTTTGTTAATAGTTTTATTAGATGCTGTATCATAGCAACATAATCTATAGAGTCATTAAATGCTTAGCTGATCTTCCTAGTGAAACAAACCGAGTATAAATAAGATGAAAGTGTTGTAACACTCTAAATTAGATTTGGATATAAATATTATTGAAGTACTTGAGTCTGTAAAGAAGCTGGTCTCTCAAAATAGGAATAAAATAAAATCGAAAAAAAGAAGTGTAGAATCAGAGTTTTGTTGATTCAGAATAATATATGTTTGATTAACTTCACACTGGAATATGTACTGTATTTGCTCAAATATAATGCACACCTGAAAAAGTTACTGCACATTATATTCATGCACATTCAGTTTTGTTAGGTATTTTACTAGAAGCTACCACCTAAAATCATTGAAGCATCATTATAGGTTTCAAAAAAATCTTGCATATCCAAAGCAATGGATGGGATGGAAGATGACATGCTGTGGGAATCAGAAGAGGATGAAGCAAACGTTCAAGGAAGCAAATCCAATGGTAGCGACAGTTTTTGCGATGATGTGATTTATGTGAAGATGAATGATTAGCTTAGTGTATTACCACGTATAAATTTTTCAATAAATTTTGTGAAATTGACACACAAAAAGTTTCAATGGAAGATTTCCAAACATATTTTTATACATTGATAGTTTTTACTGTATTTAGAAACTATTCAATACATTTTGTACAACTGATATGTAAAAAAGACAAATTTCCTTGAATTTAACATTTAAAAATTGGGTTTGTATTATATTTGGGCAAATATGGTATTACAGAATAATGACTAATTTTATATTCATGATGATTTTATTTCTTCTACTTCTAACAATTGAAATGGTATGTGATGTTAAGTTTATTGTTCCTTTGTACAGTGAAGAACCTTGATATACTTCTGTTCATATATAACTACAAACTAGATCCACAAAACCAAGCATATGTAACTAAATTAATCTGTACCTAATAGTAACCTCAGTAGTCACTGTTAGGTTTAGTATTCTTCTGGTGTGTAATCAATGTCATGAAGTAATATTTATTTTCATCAACAAGAGCTTAATAGTTTTATTAGTCATATTAAAATTTGTAGATAGAGAATGGGATTAATTGTATTTTCCTTGGAAAAAATAACAGCAGAGCTGAAAGTAGAAGGATTACTTTTATGTGACAGTATTCAATTAGTTGAATATAACAGATTAATAAGCCCATCTATTAATCAATTAGCAAATCCTGTTAATCACTCAGCTCTAAGATGAATTATAATTTATTGGTTGATATCTTGCAAAATAGTCTGAAAATTTTATTAATGTGAAATTTATTAAACCCAATTGTTATTACCATTTGCTGTAATGTAATAAATCTAGAAGTCTGTAGTACTTGAAGGATTTTTGAAACTCAATAATTAGGTAATTTTCATAGATCAAGTTATACATATAGATCAGTAAATAATGTTGTTGTCACAGTTAGTAGCCTGTATGATCAGTTAAGTCTATTAACCTTATGTGCATGGGAATGGTTCATTAGAGAGATCTTGTATTGAAGAATTAATGTGCACTGTAATTCAAAATCTATAATTCACAAAATTTGGTAAGCTTTTAGTAAACATTACAAGTATGTTGTATACATAAAAATCATTATTTTAGTAAAGTATTTTTACTGAAGATTTGGTTGGAAATTATCAAGTCAGTTTGACTCGAACTCTGACTATTCTGAGTATAAGGTGATTTTCATGTGAAGAATAGAAATAGGTTTTTTCATGCTATGGTTTTCTTATTTCATTTGCATAACCTCTAGAACTTTATAAATGAATATCAAATTTTTTCTATAAAACTGTATTTTATTTGTTATTTTCTTTAGCTTAAAACTAACTGTAGCAAAATATGCAATATAGGGTAAAATGAAAAGTTGAATATATGAAATAAATCTAAATTACTCTTTTTTTTTTGCTTTCTAGAATGAGTGCATGTTGCAACAGATAATCACACGCTATTTGCTATAATAACCAAGTCAGTTGTGTTCAAAGAAATCTTACAAATAAGGAACTCAAATTACTGATTTTGACAAGGTAGAATATAAAATGTGAATCTCCTATCTTTTCTATTTCCTGAGATATCCAGTGTCAGATTAACAGGAGGGCAAATGGGTCAGCTGCCCAGGGACAGTGAGGAAATGGGGCCCAAAAAAATTTTAGGCTAGGAATTGTTAGAAAGGAAATGAGTTTTAAAAATGTTTCTTTTAAATTGGGAATGCTATTTAAAATTTTTACTATAGTTATGAATAACTTTTTTTGAATGAGATTTATATTATTAAAATAGGATTAAGATAAGTATACACATCTGTAAACCAATGTGTATATTTAACCATGAAGTAATGATTGTCTTTTACAACAAAAATAACAGGCATGAGAAGGTCCATATTATTCACTGTCCCAGAGCCCTGAGGTGATTTAATCTACCACTGGATATGCTACATTACCTCCACTCACATAAATAGCTATCCTTGTTCAGCGCTGCTCTTTATATGCAAAAAAAATTTTTTATACATGCCACAAGCCTTCCATCTCCCCTCCGTTAGAATCAGTGAATTCTAATGGGTCTCTTGCAAATCATCACGCGTCAACCCTTCACCAATAAGACTGCATATGACTTTTTCTATTCAATTGTACCGAACTATCACTTCTCGTTTGTCAGTATTCATGTTCAGATGTTTTTCCTTTTGGTGCTCTTTGTGGAAATCACTATTTTAATAGTTTAATTTCTGAAGTGGGATTTCTTTGTTATTATTATTTTTCTTTACATTGAAGAAATTTCTTTTTAACTTCATTTCCCAGTCTTTATTTTTTTTCTCACGCTCACATATTTTATCTCAAACACTTGTTTGATTTACATATTTCTGCAATGAATTCTGAGGTTCATGTTCCCATTTCAGGTGTTATACCTCTAGCATTATTTTCACAGGCTGCAGGTGTGTGAGACTCATCATCGGATTTCTCTGCTATTATCCATCGTGAAATCGTTCATTATATGGATCACCCTTATTCTCCTGAACTTGTCCCACTAATCCTCCTGAAGAAACCGAACCTGTTCGGGGCTGATGAATATTTGATAGCCTTTTTTATACCACTGGATTTTGCCATATTTTTCCCTACCCCTTCTGCAGAGTCAGATAGGCATAATACTTCATTTTTTGACATGATTTCTCAAATATGTTATGTCTTATCCAGTTCCCCATTTTTTTATGATTCCTTATTACCTCCATGTTGGCTCATTTGTCATATTTGGCTCTTGTTTTATACACGTGGTTTCACTGTAGTTTGGGTTTTCTGGGTTACAATGTGACCTTGTCTAAGGTATATTTGTCTCCTCTTTCTTTTGGGGTTTTCTGTATATTTTCTTTAGGTGATATGTTTTCAATCATGAATCTGAGACTTTGGAATCTCATATGTAATCTATCACCCCTTTCCTCTTTGGTTGTATATTTCTTGCAGTTGGAGCCATGACATGCTCCTATTTCTTTCCTATCATGGTCCTACCTGTCTCTGCCCTCTTCCACGGGTTTTTCTATCTTGTCGTTTTATTCCACATTGATGGGCATATTGCCAACAGTACCGGGGACTAACCAGAGGGTTTTGGTCCAGTGGGAGCTTGACTATGTTTTGTTACCATTTAGTGATCTTTCACTACAGTTCCAAGTTTTATTAGAAGGACTTATCCAACTGTTTCTTTCCCCCACCTTCTTTGTCCCTGGTACCCTTTTCCTTTCCCAAGACTTGGATACTGCAACCAGCCTGCATCTGTCCGAGACAGTACAGGGTTTTCTGTCTCTACAGGCTGTTGCACCTGTTTATCATCTTTCTCCAAGCTTTTATTCCAGGCTGTTTGTTGTCTTCATGCCAAACCAGAGACTGGTGGCGTGTACTAGGTTTGTCCTTCCTCATTGTAATTTACAATCTACCTCATTTTATCTTGGAGTTGCTTCTCACCCTTAGGCAGGATTTTTCTCCAGGTTTATCGATGACAAAGATGAATATCAGGAATGATTATTTGCACATCACAATATTTCATCACTCAAGACCCTCTCTTGGGTTTATTCTCCATGGGGTGGTTTCTCTGTTTCTTTCACTGCCCTTTGAACTTGCTTTTGCTCTGTATGTTTTGTCAGGCATTCAGAGCATTCGTTCACCCCTTATATGTTCTCAGGTTGTACTTTCCTCTTTTTTGGTCAACTTGCTAGTGTTTGCTCATTCCAAACAGTAGTCTACCTGTTACCCTTATCAGCTATTCCTGGAGGTGGCTATATAATGTTAATCAAGTTGGAGAAGTACTTACTGTGACCTATCCAATATCTTGTCCTTTTGGTTTTTTTGTACACACATCTCAGTTGGATCCACTTTCTTCCTCTTCGATGGTTTTTCAGTTTGATTACTGTTCACAAAGTTCTATCGCTTTTGGGGATGTGATCTTCCATGGTAGCCCATATCTTCTTAGGTCAGGTTCATATGTGGTCTATTTTGTGGGTTTTTCAAGATCAGTGGAATTTCATAGGGGTCATTTGTTGGCTCTTATTACTCTTACTCCTACCCTTGTTATTGATCCGTGTTGGTGGTTCAATGTGGCTCACACGTTGGCGAGTGTTCGACTTTCTTCTCCTAATCTGGTTTTTCACATTTCAGGGTTGCATCCCTTCAAGGATGGGTGGTGTGGGTTGATCAACTGGAAGATTTGGAAATTTTGGTCTGTAGTCAAGAGGTCTTATCCTATCAACATCCTATAGGTTCTATCTGCAAGTCGTGTTTTGGTTCAATTTCTACTTCTGGCCAGAAATTGTCTGGTTATGATCCATTCTGACTTTTCTTCAGGGGTTGCTTATCTGAATGAACTGGGCAGCACCTGTTCTCCATCTCTCTGTATTCACACATTA